TTTTCTGTCATTGCATTTGGTTCTTTTTTCTTCCCCGACCTGCATCCTCTCTCCCCCAGTGCTGTGCCACTTGTGTTACTGCTGAATTTGCACAACTAAACCTAAATCAAAAGAGAGAAGAGGATTTATGAGTACATATATATATATATATAAATATATATATATAGATATAGATATATAAATACAACCCTTTGTTTGTAAAACAAATGAAAATTTGAAAAGTTTTCCATTTCAATGTACAAAAGATGCGTTTCAGATAATTTGATATTTCCTAGATGAAAAATAATGAAAACACAAGGAAAAATTTGTCTTGTGCCATGTTTTACTTTGAATGTTGTTTAGTGCAAAGAGACTCCTTTCCGTTAGATAAAATGTGCTATTATAAAAAAAAAAAATGTTGTCATGCATAGTGACTGAGTTTAAAATAGGTAAATGGCAAAAATTCTATATATAACAGACACTTTCTATGTTACATGGGGTTTTCGGGGCCATCGTGTGCTACATCTTTGGCTCTAAATATAGTAAAAAGACAAATGATGTCTGGAAGCCGCCTAGGAGCCAACCAACCTACAGTGCTTTGTGTTTGTTTTAGAAAAACCAAATACATCAAGGTCTGCTGATTTAGAAGAGACAAGATTCATTAGCGGATCCCGGGCACTCTGTGCTTTACAGCTTCTTGATGTTGTTTCCTCTCTTCTTGTCTAAAAACGATTTGCAAAGCGAAGGGCCAGTTTAAGCCGTGCAGTAGAAAGTGGATCGGTATTGTCAGTTTTTTTTTGGTTTTCAAACTGCAATGTGAATGTTATTTTTCTTTTCTTTTTTTCTTTTTTGTTTAAAATGTAGCTTGACATATGTGTTTTGTACAAGTTCAAGGCCTTTCTCTCTTTTTTTTTTTTTTTTTTGGGTGTTTTTTAGGGGTTAAAAAAAAAAAAAAAAAAGAGAAAAAAAAAAAAGCTCCACACGAAAATGATACATTCTTCTACCTTCGTTTCGCTACACGTACACAGGGCTTCTTTGAAAGTACAGAAGAACCAGGCATGTGATGGAAAATGTGAAAAATCAAAGGCGGGTGTTATGGCTCGTCTCGAGTTACCGAGAGCCTGACTTTTCAAATTCAAGCATGAGTTCCAGACAGATGTGTTAAACAGCAACACATCTGTGCGGTGTAAGGTTTAGTGGATCCACTTGCATCATTCTTAATGAGATTACTTTAAAACGATCACCATTACCTCAAAAACGAATGCTTTTTCCTTCCGTTTCTGCAGTGCTTCCCCTCAGATCTCTTCCTGTGGTGGAGTGCGAATGCCTATATCGAAAAAAACACACACACCCGAAACCTCCTTCAGGTCGAGACGGTGTAGAAAACTTTTAGGGTTGCGTCAGGGACATGGCAGACGAGTACAAATAGGTCTTCTTTCAAATTCAAATCTGTCGTCAGTCCTCCAACACCCCGCTTCCATCTTGGACCGGGGACGCACATATTTATGCACCACAATCAGGACACGTGCTTTTTTTTTTTGCCAATCTGGTTCAACATATACAGAAAGCGGTGATTTAAAACCGAAACAAAAAAAATCTAATATAGCACATTTAAGAGACTAAATTGTTACCTTTTTCCCAGCCATTTTACAGCATCAAATGAGAGTACGTGTGTCACATTTTGAGCAACTGGCGAGTTTCCATCGCTTAGGTTTGTGGTGTCTTCGAGCCCTGGTTCCTTTTGATTTAGGCTTTGGGCGATAGATGAACCGGCTAATGGTCATGTCGGTTAAAAAAAAGAATTGCTATTGCTCTGAAAACTTCGATGATCTATGAGGCATTCAAACTGAGACCGACCCCCATTAGCAAAGCGATAGAAAGATTACAAAGAATAACGCAATTCTCTCTTAACGCACACCCTGGTGACACACGCTCCAGGAAACTCAACTAAAATTCCCACTCTCTGTTGTGGTTGACTTTTGCATTTCCTTTGCCACTTTTCTTACACTGTACATTCGCACACTGTTTCTGTTTTAAAGACGTTAACCACTCGCCACTCGCCATTAAACCAAACGCAGCATGTTGATGCTTTCAAGTGAAAAAAAAACAAAAAAAAACTCCACTCAAACTGCATTACTTTTGCTCAGTTTAGGATGTTTTCTGACAGCCCTTTAAAAAAGGAAAATGAAAGAAAAAAAAAACTGTATATTTGAATCTCCCTCGCCTTGATATCAGCCTTTCCGATCAAGCCCGGGGTTCCATGTTGTTGTTTTATCTGGCAGCACAAACCCGGACGCATTGAAAAAGGTTCTGTATGTGCTTCAGTACTTGAATCACCGATCTACACAGGGTAAGAAAACATACAGAGCAAACATACTGACCAAAGCTTTCCCCACCCCACATCACAATGAAAACTAGCTCCACGAAAAAAGAGATTATTTGAACATCACATTCAGTTCTTCCACCGACAATTACAGTGCCCACTTTTATTCATTTAAACCTTCCTCGCCGAAGGCGTTTTTGTGTTTGATACGGGGACGTTTCGGCATTGTAACTTCCATGTACAGGCACTCGCATTCTGACTGAAACCGTCTGAAATGTTGGACCTCTCTGTTAGTTGTTTGGCCGGTATTCACTTGTTCATATGATGGAAACTTGTAAAGAAATATTTTTGGGTGACGAGTAACAAAAGCTTACTCCTTGTTTACATTGTGGGGAGAAAAAAAAAAAAATACAAAAAAAAAAAAGCAAGATGGAAAGATAGGACTGGCTTGGTCTCTGGTGATTTTCTTTCTTAGTTTTGCTTCTTGTGTTCTGCTTCACCACTTGTTGGAGTGCGAGATGAAAAAAAAAAAAGAAACCTCGGGGCAAGACGGAGGGAAGTACTTTGATGGCCATGGTACCTCTTCATTTTCCATTCCCTCTCATCTTTGCCGTTTCTTTTTTCTTTGTGGAGTAAAAAAATCATTTTGAAGGAGGGTGGAGGGAGAGATTCTCCTGACTATAACATATAAGTGTTCAATGTGCCTTGCTGGCCTCTCTCTGGACAGAAAATGGTGGTGATTCTCCTTCATGTACCTAAAGGGTATAATTCAGATAGAACTATTTTGTCATAAAATGGGCAAAGTAACTGAAATCACTGTAATATGTGAGCTTCATTGTAATACTACCGTGTTTTATCAGATATTCTAGTTTCTCGTCAATAATGAGATTACAAAGTGTGTGTGTGCGTGTGTGTGTGTTTGATGCTCACAGATGTGTTCAGCGCAGACACTTTCACAGCCAGTGAAATCATCATCTCATGCATTTATCCGGATCCGGGGTTTAGAGAATGTGGCGTGGGGGATTATGGGTGCAGAAAAATGCAGTGAAATGGTCAAGAAATGGTCCCGGTTTCTCGTTCTCATTCCGCCGTCACTCTGCAAAATTGTTTTACTGGGTTTTATTTCTGAACTTGACGTCTTCCTTTAGGTTTCAACATTACAAGTAACTGGAAAAACATCAGAGTTGGGTTAAGAATAGGCCCTCCCTTGACGTCTACCCCATGTTAGACGACTAGATTTAACGACAAATGGCGCAAATTGTAGAAATTCGGGATTAGCAAACCAGGTTCTTTCCTTTCTTGTGTCCATCTAAATATATAAAACTGTACGTAAATAATTATTCATTTGCCATGACTGATACTACAGAAGTAAATTATATTTCCTCTGTTAACGTAAGACGCAGGGACAAAAATGTCCGTCTTCTTTCTCAATCAACATTTGTCAAAGCAGTTAAAAATCATTCTTCGTCATTTTTACTCCAATTGGCAATTTTACTCCAATTGCGAGAATTAGGAGTAAGTTATCCTTATCCTTGTCATCTGTGTCACTGGTGCTGGACAGGGCGAAAAGAGAGACCCTGTCTAAGTTAGCATCGCAAGCTAATTAACATTTTAGATGCTGCTTTTTTCTATTTTGAACTGAGCCCTGATGGTAGATGACTTACAAGTAAAAAAAAAAAAAAACTGCTTAATCTCAATTGGCCACTTTGCTTGATGTCGATGTTAAAGTAGCCAGCTTTCACGGCAGAAACAATAAAAGCGCTCACAGCTGGCGCTAGCTAAAAACGGCTATTCCGTCTGGATCTCAATCACAACGTTTGCAGTGACAGACTGGATACTTCAGAACAGAACGAGATCCGTGGCACACTTTTCCCATAAATTCCATGGTATTTATTCAAATCCTCTGTTTATCTTTTTGTAAAACCCACTCCCCTTCCAGCATATCAGAAATATGTTGTCACTATAGGCCGAATGGAGCCACCGGACCACTCCAGCACACACTGGCCTCTCATCCCCCCGGTTCCACCTCACCAAGAGATTAAAGGACATTTCAGAGACAGGAGCAGAGGACATTAAAAA